TATGTGTGTGTGTGTGCGCGCGCGAGGTGTTTGCGCGGAGGAGGGTGTGTGAGGAGTGACGAGAGCGGCGCGGAGGACAACTCGCCGTCTTGGAGGAGTCCGCATGGAAGGCCAGGCTGTTGACGGAGAGGGAGAGCCACGCGCGCCGCCAAGCCGCGTCGTCGCGGCGCGGGGTGGGCGCGGCCTCCTCCTCCGCCTCGAGCAGCTCCGCCTCCACCACCCTCACCCATCCAGCCAGCGGAGAGACCAGCTCCACCCGCGTAGGAGGCGAGAAAGTGCCTGCCCTCGCCTTGGGCTTGGCGCCGCGTGAGGCAGCTTGGCCGGCACCGCGTCGAGAGGAGGCGGTGGAACTGCCCTGGCTCGGTGAGGCGCCTCCCTGGACCGCCGGGTGCGACAGGAGCATGTCGGGTCCGCCGTTGTCCGAGCGCATTGCACCGACAATCGACCCGGCGGCCATTGAGCCATAGTAGCCCGCTGGAACTGCTGGCCGCTCTTCCTTCCGGCCGCCGGGGGGGCGTCGCCGCCCAGGCATGTTTATCTCGGTTGTCGGTGCCCAGGCTTGCTGCTAATCACGGCAGCGGCGACAGATCACTGCCGCACACCGCGCTGCGGCTGAAATGAAGAAAGCCAGGCCGGGGAGTAGGAGGCGGAAAACAACAAGAAACCACGACTATCGATTTGGGCTCGGCAGCTTGTCAGCCCTCAGCCGAAGCTGGGGCCGGTCCCGTAGCCGAGAGAGCCCGCGCCGATCGGAGTTCGACGCGGTCGGGGGGGCCTGCGGAGAGGCCAGCGAGGTGGCGATCGCTGTATGTACTTCATGGCGCCCTCAAAAGTCACAAAGTGGGGCTGGCTGACTCGCCAGAGGTCGATACTCTGGACGACCCATAGGAGATGCCACGAATGCCTGAAGGAGAGGGAGGCGAGGCCAGAGGCAGGCTCAGCTGCTTTCGGGTGATCTCGCTTTGGTGGCTGAAGGACCCGATGGTCCTGTCACATTCGCGTTCCGAGTCGTGGGGGTAGAAGAATTCGAGGTAGAATCGAGTCAACACTTCCTTGTAGCACAGCGGACCGCCAGGCTCGCCGGCAGCAACCGCAGGGAGGCAGCATATGAGGCACCAGTCTTCTGGAGAGCTCAACAGCTGCGGCCGCGATGGCAGAGTCGGCCGCGGTTCGAGCGAGCAGCTTTTGGCTGCGGGATTGAATCGCGGAAGGCTCATGCCCTCGCTGAGCGACGCGGGTCGCGCGGCGCGCGCGTGTGCGAAATGCGACAACAGACGACAGACGACAGACGCCTGAGCGCCGAACGACTGAACGACCGTCGCCGCAATCGCCACCGCCGCCATCTTGACGAGCAGCGCGAGCGCGCTCGTCTCGGCGGCCAGCCGTCGCGGGCCGGGCCGAGCCCGGCCTCGACCGGCCGCGCCGCCGCAGCACAGGCCGGGACCGGGAGGCCCGAGCAAATAAATAAATAAATAAAACGCACACCTCTACTGTGAGAATGGGTAAAAAGGAACAGGTCCCCGCCCTTGCGATCTTTGTGCAGGGTTCTTTGTGGGTGTGGTCGGCGGCTAGCCGGGGTCGTCCTCCCGATGGGGGACTAGCACTAGCCGTCTTCCACATGGTCCCTCGGGTGGGGTCCCTGGACCCTGCTGCTCCCGCTAAGCATAAGGAGCAGCCCGGTTCTTGTGTTAGCTTGTACCTTGTTTCTTCTTTCTTGACTTCGTACACCTCGAGCTCGACAGCGGTGTGCTCGGGCCTCGGCCGAAAGTGGGCGTACATCGCGCGTCCCGAGGCCTTTCAAAAGATGGCCCGCCGGCCACTCTTCAGCTCCACAAAACTGCAACATCAGGATACAGGAATCCGAGAAGAGACAGTGTCGTGACCGGACGGCGAAGGCGGACGGGCACGGGCCGCGGACATAAAACTGGGGAGTGGGGACAGCGGCGACGAAAACGCGCGACCCGGGGCGATACCGCTCATCACTTTCCCTGAACCAATCGCTTGGCATACTCGACGTCCTTCTTTAACGAAGCGAGCGCCCCCTCCGTGCTCATCGCCTCGCGGCCTCGAAGACCAGGTGCCTAGGAAAAAGGGAACTTCGCGCTCAAGTATCGGCCCCAACTGACAGGTTTGGAGAGGTGCTGGGTGTGTGTGGAGGAGAGGGGGAGTGCGGTGAGGGTAATAGCGTCATCACCTCGGATGAGACGGCGCCGCTCGCGAACCGCCACTCGTCGCCGCGCCGCACGAAGCGGGTCCGCTCGTAGGTGACCACCGCGGGCGCAGCCGAGTTCTTGGTGGCGAGGTGGAACTCGTTGTCCATCCAAACCTCGCCGCCGTCCTCGCCTGGCTCCTCCTCTCCCACACCGAGACTCGAAAGAGCAAAGTCGAAATTGTCAAACATCGACGTCTTGTGGAGCTTCTTGGCCCATTTGATGCGGTCCTTCATGTGGTCCGGGTTCGACTGGTCCGTGCTCTCCATTATGTAGAGCGGCAGCCGGTAGGCAAAGGCGCTCCAGCGGGCCTGCAGGCATCTCGTCGCTGTTTCGGCTCGTGCCTCTCCGGCGTGATACGGCCGGCAGCAATTGGCGTACGCAACGCCCGAGCCACACGCGCAGGGCTTGTCAAAGTCCTTGGGAAGGCGGTTTCCGAAGCCACGGACGACCTCCTCCAGCGTCGGAGGGGCCTTCTTTGGCGCTCCGAAGCCAGCCATCTCTGCCGGCGGCTTTGCGCAGCGGCAGCCGCGGGCTGCGCCGCGGCTGAGCGGGAGCGCGCCGCGGCTCGGCGGGAGCACCACGCTGCCGGGCGCGAGCGCCACGGCTAGGGTCACAACGAGCAGCATATTAGCTGTCGGTGGGAGCGCCTCGGCCTGGCCGTAGAAGCTGCCCTCGGCCGACCACTTGTCGCTGTCGTTGCCAGTGGCACGCGAGTGCAGCGAAAAGCACGTGTGGCTGCGCACCCGAGAAAAGAAAGAAAAAAGCAAACTCCAAGGCAGGGATGGGAGGACGTCAAGCCGCGACAGGGATTTTAAGGAGAGGAGTGTGGTGCTAGCCGCCGCCCACCCTCGGGCGTCTACCACTTCCTATCTCTTGATTTGCCAACAATATACCTAAAACCACTTCCTATCTCTCACCCGAGAAAAAAAACATTGGCCCAAAGGCGGCCGCCATCGTCTCTCACTCTCTCGAGCGGACATCGTGGCGGCTTCGCACTCCGCAGCCGACATCGCAGCCGCGCCCGCCGGTGTGGGAGAGGAGGAGCCACCAGCCACGAGCCGGCACCGACGCGGCGGCCGAGCCGCTGCCGGAGGTCCTCGAGTGGGTTCTGACCCGGCTCGCCGACCAGCCCGCCGTCCTGGCTCGGGCGCGAGCGCTCGCGCGCCAGCAGATGGCGCCGCACGAGGCGGCGATGGGCTCGGCGGCGCCCTCCGAGGCGATCGCGTATGGCCTGCTCACGCCGGGCGAGGCCGGCGTCGCGAGCGTTGACGAGCGCCTCGCGGCTTGCGCCTCGAGGCACCTGCTGCTCGAGCTCGGCCAGGCCTGCTCGATGCTGCGGCGCGAGGCGGACGCCGTGCGCATCTTTCGCGCGCTCTCTCACGCCTTTGCAGCGGGCGGGGCGTCGCGAGCCGCGGCCGCCGCCGAGCACCCCGTCCTCGCCGACGACGCGCGGGCTCGCCTCTTCGAGCGGGAGGTGTACACGCACTGGGGCGCGGCCGCGGCGCGGCTCGGAGGGCGCGCCGAGGAGCGGCGAGTCTACCAGCTGGCGATGGAGCGCGGGCTGTGGCGGTCTACACTGCAGCGGCCGCTGGAGCACTACGCGCGCTCGCTGACGGCGCGTCCCTTCTGGGAGGCGTCCGAGCTCCCCGAGGCTGCGGCGCTGCAGCGCGCCTTCCCCGCCATCCTCGCCGAGTGCAACGCGCTGCTCGCGCGGCGCGGCGGTGCGTTTGCGCCGTACCGGTCGAGGGTGGTGGCGGCCGGCGGCGCGTGGTCCGACGTGCAGCTCTTCGGCGGGTGCCGTGCGGACGCGGAGCACTGCGCCGCCTGCCCGCGCACCGCCGCGGCCATCGCGGCGCAGCCGCGCCTCAACAGCGTCGTGCACGGCTCGCACTTCTTCTCGCGGCTGGCGGCGGGGACGCACCTCGAGGCGCACTGCGGCCCGTCCAACTACCGGCTGCGCTGCCACCTGGGCCTGGTGGTCCCGGCCGGCGCGCGCATCCGCGTGGGCGAGGAGGTGCGCGAGTGGCGCGCGGGCGAGTGCCTCGTCTTCGACGACTCGTACGAGCACGAGGCGCGGCGCGCTCCCTCCCGCCCCGCCCCCGTGCCCGTGCACGCGCCTCCTCGCCCCTGCCCCTCCGACACCCTTTAGCAGGCAGCGGCGAGCGGGCGACCCCCGCCCCTCGGCAGGTGTGGCACAGCGGCGACACCGACCGCGTCGTCCTCATCTGCGACTTGTGGCACCCGGAGGTCGACCTCGAGAAGCACGTCCGCCCGTCCCTCGCGCCGGCGCAGCGCGAGGCGCTCGCCGCGGCGGAGGCAGGCGGCATGTTTTGCGAGTATATGGGACACGATGTCTCAAATATGAGGGGTTTTGACTCCTACCGGCTCCTGACGCTATTCCTGGCAGCTCTTATGACCAGGATCAGTAGTGCTATGATACAGGGTGCCCATGCTAGCGCAGGAGCTGCCACACTCGCCCGGACCGTCCCCTTCTGGGGCCGGTTCCGCAGCCCGCGAGAGCCGACAGCGGGGCCGTGCCGCGGGTGCCTACTGCCGAGTGCCACAAACACTGCGCCGTCCCGCCATCACCTACAGGCTGTCTTGTGTGATGGTTGGGATGTCCAAACGCCACCATCTTGGCTCTTGCGACCTCAAACCCTCGAGCTGTATGGGTGGTCCTGACGTCGACAGACGCCCGATGACCACGGTGAAGCTGAGCCGGAACGCGTCGACAAGTCTCGCCTGAGCCCGTGGCGGTCGCCGGCTGGGTCGCTGTGCACGGGCCGGTACCTCAGGCGTCACCTCCGCAGCCTCAGGTCTCACACTCCATCACCTCCGCCAGGACGCCGTCGGTGGCACGCTCGGCGGCGACTTTGTGGCAGCCCCACAGCGAGCGCGGCGTCGAGCCTAATCGGTCTGGTCGGTCGGCCGCACTCACTGGGTGCCAGGGAGTGCGGCCGACACTCGAGCGGTGCTTCCTGGCAGCGCGCGCCGGCTGTGGGGCTGCCACAAACTCGAGACACGCTTTTTTGGGACATTTTCGACGCTTTTGTCCCATATACTCGCAAAACATGCCAGGCCGCCACCTCCCCGTGCAGCGGCGGGTGTACTCCACGGGCGCCTCGGTAGTGCGGCGAGGCGACTGAGCCGCTTTCCTTCTTGCATGCAAAACCAAAAGAATTCCGAGATACGACACACACACGACAGCCCACACGCGCACAGTCGCACACACGGGCCACCGCAGGCACACGGCGCGCGCGGGGGGGCGGTGTGCGCGTCTCGCCGGCCCCCGATCACGCCGACGCTGTTCTCCGGCGTCCGGGCGCTCAAAGAGTCTCCTAAGCACACCCACTTTGCGCATGTGTCAACCCCTGAAACCGACGCAAGAGCAAAACGCGCGCGTTCAGGTCCCGTCCATGGTCCATGCAGGAGGCCACGATGATCTCGGCAGCAGCAAGCTGGCGCTAAGCGTCAAACACACACCCAGGAGCACGCCCAGCAAGCAGGGCACGATGCAGCTCGCGAAGCCACGCCTTCGAGACGACGGCTCTGACGGCGAGACGCTGGCCGCGGCGGCCGCCGCATACGCGTCTGATGCCGCCGCCTCTGCGGCCGCCGCCCTCTCGAGCCGCTCGCGCTCGGCCGAGCGCTCCACAATCTCTGTCTTCGCCTCTGCGGGCACCACGGTCGCCGCGGCGCGAGCAGCCGCCTGGCCGTGTTCCGGGCCGGCAGCCATGAGCGCCCGCAGCGTCTTGGTCAGCTCCGCTTGGAGCGAGGTGACCTTGCGCCTCGCCTGCGCCAGCTCGGCCAGCGCCGCGTCGCGCTCGCGGCGAAGGCGAATTTGGCTGCCGCCGTCGGGTGCGGCCTCGGCCGGTTCGTGGAGCCGACCGAATGATCTCATTGTACGGCGCCGTTCACAGCCTTCTTATTGAGAAGAAAATACGTCCTATGGCGCTGTGCGCTGGTCTGTGAGAGGTTCACAGCCTTGTTATTGAGAAGAAAATACCTCCTATGTTCACAGACCTTGTTATTGAGAAGGAAATACCTCGTATGGCGCTGCGCGCTGGTCTATGAGGTTGAGGTGCGAGCCCTGGAGGCCCTGGGAATGGGGGGAGACTACCCAGTACCCACAGGCCTTGAACATTGCGCTCAGCGTATGGACCACTTGTTCGATGTCCCGCGTTCACAGCCTTGAAGAAGAGAGAACTGTGTGTGCCACATTTCTTGTTGGCTTCTAAAAATCTCTCTCTCTCAGCTTTGTTATTGAGAAGAAAATACTGTCCCGTTTTGCTGTTCACAGCTAGGGACGGCCTCTGCGGCAAAGTCAAACCACCCCACCTCCCACCGGCCACCTCCCTCCCACAGGCAAACCTTCGGCTCCCGCTCAGAGGCTCGCCGCGCCCGTGCGGCGCGCCGAGGCGGCGCCGAGGCCGGCGCCTTGCACCCGGCCCGCGGCCGGCACCGCCTCGCCCCACAACTGACCGCCCTGCGGCCCCTGCGCAGGCGTACCACAGCGTCGCTCAAAAAGCGACGCCGGGTGTGGGCTGCTCCCTTGACCCGTCACCCGCCGCGCCCTCGCCCGGCCGCCTCACCGCTCACGGAGGCTGCTCGCCGCCGCCGCCGCGCGTCCCGCGCCGCCACGCATGCCCCTTGCCCTGACGCGCGCGCTCTGCAGCGGCGCAGAGCGCGCGTCCCTGGCACAGACGGAGCAGCGACCGCTGCAGCGGCCGCGCCAGCGGTCGCTGCTCCGCCCCCCAGTCGCGCGCGCCGCGCGCGCGCTGCCGCCGCCGCCGCCGCCGCCGCCCCCTCCTCGCCGTCTTCCCCACCCTACCCTCTGTTGCGCGCGCCGCGCCGCCGCGCTGCGCGCCCCCGCCCCCGCCCCCGCCCCCGCCCCCGCCCCCGCTCCCACGCGCCCCTTCCCCGGTAGGTGTGCGTAGAAAGTGGAACCAATCGAGAGGTGGCAGAAGCCGCCGTGTGTGACACATATTGCGGCACGTGAGAGTGAGACAGAGCCCCGGCAGCGGCCAGCGCGGCGCGCGCGCCGCGCAGCGCGGCCAGCGCAACAGGCGTTTCAAACAGCAAACGGGACGGCCTGCGCAGCCTCTAACTATAGAGTGGCTGGCCCTGGAGATGGGGAGGGGCTACTCGCGGGCCTATGAAGGCACGCAGACGCAGACGCACGCGCGAGGGGGGTCATGAAGGAGGAGTGCACGAGTGTTCCACACGCATGTTGCGAGAGCTAGCAGTTCCCAGTTGTTGATGTTCTGCCCTTCTGCGCTCTTCGCCACAGACGACGGCGCGCTGCGAGCTCAGCCGACCCACCCTCGCGGTTCGCGTCAGGCTACAGACAGGCGCACGATCTCAACCGAGGGGGCCGCTCGCCTCGCGCCGCGACGTGCGAGCAAATCAGCCGTTCACGTCCGGCGTTACCCAGTCCAACGAACTTCGCTTCAGCGTTTCGGGCGCGAAAGAAGAAATTCGTCAAGCATTGCATATGTGTATATGTGTATGAAGATGTGTTTGGTATTGCTAACTCTCTCTCTGTCTCTCTCTAAAGAACACAACCCGGGCCCCAACGAGTTGTCACCCAGAGCTATGACACAGAAATCGAGAACGGGCAAGGGAGCGTCCGCCGTGGCGATGTCGTTCACAATCACAAAGCTATCTCTCCTACCCCGCAGTGATCTGTGATCTGGGAGGGTCCGCCCGCAGTTACCACCTGTGCTGGCGGCGAGGACGCGAATCCACGACCATTGATTTGCGGCCATTGGCAACGGCCAGACCGCTCGCGCTTATATAATAAAAGGCTGATCGGCTAGGGACGAGCGGTCTACCATCGTTACTGGGCTGACTGGCAAAAAGAGGAGTGGTCACATATCCGGATGAGGCGCAGCGTGTGAGGCAGAGCACACACACTCATGAACTACTGTATATACGGCGTCCCACACAGGAGGGGGGGGGATATCTCGGCGTCTCTGCTGAGAGCTCGAAGGGGGGACAAGAGCTCCGGCAGCTCCGCGGCGTGAAACGCAACGCCGTTGGCGTTGCCGCCACTCTTCATGCAGTGCACGACGCAAGGCCGAAATCCTCAACGGAACCTGAAAATGGTGATGCTTTACGCACACGTTGGATCCTCGACGACGGCGATTTGGAGACCCCCACTACTGGCCGAGAGGACATTGAGGGTAAGCGTAGAACTCCGAACAGTGGGGTTTGTGCATCCGGAGCCGGTCGTGTGTACCCTAAGACCTCTCCGAACAGTGGGGTTTGTGCATCCGGAGCCGGTCCCACCAGTGTACCCTGAGAACTGCCGTAGTTGGCGAAGCGTCCGCACGGAGGACCATTGTTGTAGTGGGCCACTCCACCGCTGTTTTCAGGCCAGCCTGATGAAGTGCTGCAATGGCAGTCAACATCCCCATCTTGGCCCGCAATCGAATCGATCATATCGCCTACCTTGACCCGGTAGCAGTGGCTCAAATAACTTGGGCTATAATCGTTTTTCCACAATTCGGCCACACTCCTCGCGGCAGTCCTCGGACAGGCGCCGCTGGCCACGGCAGCTGCTTCCACTCCCCCTGCCCCGCCGCCAACGTCCACGGCCGAGGCCTCGGCGGCCGCGGCCGGGACGCCAGCGAGATGCGACGACACCTTGGCGGGGGCCGCGTCGAAGCGGGAGAAAGCGAACGGCGTCTCTAAGGCAGGCGACCTCGTACAGGTTTGTTTGCCTCTCTGTCGACGCGCAACACGCCCTCATTGGCGTCCCACACAAGGGGACACAACGTCGGCGTCTCTGCTGAGAGGTGGAGCTCCGGAAGGGCAGAAAGAAAGACATATGGCGTCCCACAGCACATCGGGCCGAGGGGGGTAACAAAGCACAGGGGAACTAGGCAACCTCGGCTTTGGAGCTGCGGGCGTTCCCCTCACGATCCGCCTACCTTTGCTACGCTTTGTTGATCGCCTTGTGCGCCCCGCCCGCCCCTGCCCCGCGCCCCGTGCCGCGGCCCCGCCCCGCCCGCGCCCGCGCGCTGCGGCCGCCGTCGCCCCGCCCGCGAGAAGCTCTCACCCCGCACCTCTCCGCCCCGTCCGGCGCCCGCAGAAAGTGCCAACATGCCAGCTACTCTTGAGTCGATTGAGGCCGAGATCGCCACCCTGTGCGCGCCGCCGCCCTGCCCCGCCCGCCCCCCGCGCACGCCCCGCCGCGCGCCACCCGGTCGCTGCCCCTCCACACCCTTCCCGACCTCCGCCGGCACTCTGCGCGCTCAGGCACGAGACGCTCGAGTCGCAGGGCCTCAACTCGCGCGGCGTCACCGACATCTTTGGCCGCAAGTT